CGGCCCAGCACCGCGCCGGCCCCGCGCCCCCGGCCCCAGCCCCTGCCGAGCACCGCGCCGGCCGCCGGCCCCGCACCGCCGGGCCCTACCTCCCTATTTTCCCGGACATGTCCGGCTTTTTGGGATTCCCCCCCGGGCGGGGATTTGAGGCCCAAAAAGGCGGACATGTCCGGGAAAATCCGGACGTATGGTAACCCTACTTATAGATCTGTGTATCTCTTGTGCTCTCTCTAATAAAATGAAAGTGTGTGTGTTTAGCAACCCCTTTGCAGAGTCTGCATGTTGCTTGCTCAGGGCGCGCCTACACTAAAAAATTAAGTCGACTTAAGTTCGGTCGACCTACAGCTACAGCAGTAATTAAATCAGCGCACACTGCGCTCCTTCTGTTGGTGATGTGCGTCCTCACCAGGAGCGCTTGCACCAACTTCAGTAGCAGACCGTGGGGCACTGACAGGCAATGTAAGCAACTCAATGGCCACATGGACACTGCATCGATCTAACTACATTGACCTAAGTGCTACGTCTCTCACAGAGGTGGAGTTATTAGTCTAGTGGGCAACTTACATCAGCGTGAGCAACGTTACAGTGTAGACGCTTACTGAGTTCGGTTGATGTAAGCTGCCTTACAACAACCGAACTCTGTATTGTAGACCAGGCCTCAGACTGTCCCATAGTTCCACAAACCAGAGGGTCCAAAGCTTTTGTGGAACTCTGGGAGCAAGTACTTGCCACTGGGGAGTTTGGGGAGAGCAGCGCTAGTTTCAGGGCCAAGGGGTCCCCACTGCCAAAAGAGGTGTCAGACATGGGGGCTGCACCTGTAGTGCCTGACTAGAGGTTCAAAGCCAGAGAGACAGTACCTAAACTTCATCAAGCCCTTGCAAGCCAAAAGCCTGTGGGACCCAAGGTTTGGGTGCAGGACAGCAGCCTGCTGAATGTCCAGGAAGGGAGCTCATCTAGGGGTGTGACACCACATATGGTCAGGACATAAGTTATGCATCATCTGAAAGATGGTGCCTCCAGCAACACTGCACTCCTCTCTCCCTGAGAGGGAAAGGGGCTTGGTTTCACTACCCACTCTGACTCATTGACCCAGTCTACCTTAATTAGTTTGGGGGATATAAGAAAATCGCATACCAAGGGATGTTGCTGCAGTCACCAAAATTCATCCCAGCCTAGAACTTCCTACTAGATGCCCAACTCCTAGTATTTAGGAATCAAAAATGCCCTGAGAAGAGGGGAATGGGAGAATGAGTCCATAGGAAAGGGAAACAATGGGATAGAGGCCTTTTCTAGGAGCAAGAAGAGAAACAAGCATTTCACTTACGGGTCATCTTTATAACTAACATCTGTTACAGTCCTCACTTTAACTCCTTCCTCCACGGGACAATCAAGCTTTCTATACACTGGCTCCGTAGTGAACCCATAGTTAATCCAACCAAGCTGTCAAAGAAAAGATACAAGAGTATACATAAAACATATCAAACTGTTTCACTCTATCCAAAACCCAAGGACTGTTTCTAACACAATTTCTGGAAGAGAAAAGTTCTTTGGATTCCTGCGCTTTTGGATGGCTTTTTTTTCTCCTGATAAGCTCATTAGTTTGTTCTTGTTGAAGAACACACTCATGCTGTACATGGTTCTTTGTAGAATAAGACAAAATAGACCTGAAGTCTCCCCTATAAAGGGCAGTGTAGGTGCAAGAGCATGACTTCAGGAGATGGTGGAAAAAAAGTAATACAGAT